ACACACACACATTCTGAGCCTGGAATGGAACACACAAATTTCTGAATATTGTGGGAAAACACCTAACTGCTACACCACAGACGCTGGTCATAAGTCATAAAACCTACCAATCTTATGATTGAGAATGTATTCCTCTTTGAAAAAATTCTGTGACAGCGGGTCTCCCTTCCTGCCTGCATCAGTCACAGCTGGGGATCGGAGGAAAAACACATAAACAAAAGCTTATACGTTAAAGAGAAGCATATCGACATCATAATGGCCAGTCTGTGTTTGAGAAAACAGCAGCACATCGACACAATAACTGTCACTGGGTGCGGGAATAAAGCAAGACCAGAGATGGAGAGAACAGAAAGGGAAAGTAAAGAAGTAGCACCTACCAGAGGTGCCCTCCAGTCACCTACATTATCATTGTCTTTCTCACCCTGAATCAGGACAAAGGCTACAAACAAACACTTTCCACCTTTCCCTATCCTGGGCTAGTCGCTAGACGTCCCTCCATGTCTTCCCACTTTTCTGTTCATCTATTTCCATGACTCTTCTACAGGTTCCACATGGTCTTCCCCTTGATCTTTTACCTTGTGGGTTCCAATCTAACACTTTCCTTGTTATGCATCTGCTTGACTTCTTGAAAGTGTGTCTGATCCATCGCCAACGCCTTTTTCCCACCTCATCTCTGACTGGGCTCTGTCTCGTTCTTCGTAATACTTTCTCATTGGTGATCTTGTTTGTCTGTCTGATCCTCAGTTACTTCCTTAGACACTTGTCCAAGAAAACCTGGATCCTCTTTATGCAAGTCTGAGATGCATTCCACATCTCACATCCCTACAACAAGACTGACTTCACATTAGAATTGAAAATCCTCAGCTTTGTTCGTAGTGAGATATCCCAGCTCCTCCAAATCCTATTTAAAGAAATAAATGCAGTCTGTGCCTTTCCAATGAGGGACTTTATTTCAGCGCCTGTTCCTCCCTCTCTGTCAATTATATTCCCAAGATAGCAGAAGGATTCAATGTCTTCCAGTGCATTTTTCTGCATCGTGACCTGTTCCTTTCGTAGTGCATCTATCCTTAGGACTTTTGACTTTCCTGGGTGGATCATCAGTCCAACAGACTGATAGGCTATTTAAAATTGTGGTCTTTGCTTGCATCTGTCCCTGAGCGTGTGACAGAAGCGCCAAGTCATCTGCAAAGTCCAGATCGTCCAACTGTGTCCATGGGGTCTACTGTATGCCGTTTCTGTGTCCTCTGGTAATTTCCTTCATCAGCCAGTCGATCGCCAAGATATAGAGGAAAATTGATAGTAAACGTCCCTGTCTCACACCAGTCTTGATGTCAAAGCTGTCAGTGAACTGGCCATCATGTATAACCCTGCAACTTGTCACTTCGTACATGCTCTTGATGATGTTACTCAACTTTTGTGGGATTCCATGATGTCTCAGTATCTTCCAGTGTTCCTCGGTCTATACTGTCAAAGGTCTTCTCATACTCAAGGAAGTCGAAGACCAACTGGGAGTTCCACTCCAAGGACTGTTCGACTATGATCCTCAGCATAGCAATCTGGTCCATGGTTGACCGATTTTTCCGAAAACTAGCCTGTTTATCCAAGTCTTGGATCCGTTGCAGACTTGATTCTCTCCAGAATGATTCTGTTGAAGACCTTATCTGGCTCGGTAGTTGTGGCAGTTGCTGAGATCCCCTTTTTTGGTAGTTTCACAAGGTGTTCTTCCAAATCCTTTGGGAACTTGCTCTCATTCCAGATCCTGGTAAACAATGGGAGAAGGAGGTCTGCCGTCATATTGGCATCTTTCTTTAGGGTCTCAGGTGAAATCTGACCTGTTCTGCTTCTTAATGGCATCCATAATCTCTTGTTTTGATGGAGCATCACAGCAGATTGGTAACTCATTTCCTTCCGGCAGGATGTTTGGTGGGTTACTCGGTGGTGGTCTGCTCAGGGGACTGTTGAAATGCTCTACCCATCGTCTCGACTGAGCTTCCTTTTTAAAAATGGCTTTTCCCTCTTGGTCCTTTACTGTTACTTCGGTCTCCCATATTTTCCAGAAAAAGTCTTTGTGGTCTGGTAAAGGTTTCGCATGTTCCCTCCTGCTGCTACCTCCTCTGCCCTCCTCTCTGCCAGCCTGTTTATGAAATCCTCCCTGTTTTTTCTTAGTGATCTCTTTACATCTTTAGCCCTTGTCCTATACTGCTCCAATGCGTCCGCTTTTGATCTTTTTTTCTACTTGCATTTGTCTCTGCTTTCAATTGTCTTCTAATCCTAATCAAATCCAATGACCGTTGGCTAATCCATTCCTAAAGCCCTAATTTCTTTTCACCACCAGTAACCTGCATTATTATAATATTACACGATAAAGTGAAGGGAAAGATATGGAGGACGAGAACAAGAAGACAGTACAACACACACAACTGTAACAAGTATTGTACTTAAATAGTTCATTTATCAAAACAAAACAAAACAAACAAAACTAACAACATAAATAAATTTTAAAAAACAAACTAACAACAAAATAAACTTTAATTTTTAGTTTAAGTAACGTTTTACGGCGCTCACAACTGCATATGTTCATATGAGTGCCAAGGGGAGGATGTCAACAGAGAAGTCCAAACAGGGAATCAAGCTTACTCAGCTCACCTCTAGCCTCAACAGCACAAAGTCAGCTTCGACTATCAAGGCACCCCGGAAATAGCGGGTCACAAGAGTGTGACAAACATACAAAAGTAGTAGAGGTAAATGACGATAGTAAGGACGAGGAACTAAAAAGCACCAGTTCCCCCTGTGTTGTTCCGGCACCGTATGAGCATGGCATTGATAAATCATCCCATTTACAAGTCTACTGCGCATGAGAACATGTTAATATCCCCCCTTTGTGAATGGCCCAAAGACCCTTCAGTCAGTGGCACTGCACGGGACAACATAAACAAAAACAAAAAACTCACCACCAGCAATATTAATAAAAACAACAACAGCAAAAAAGCCTAAAATCAACAATGGAAATAAAAAATAATAAACATCACCATCATATCAACATAAATAAAAAAAGAGCTTAAAATTAAAAATTAAAAACCCATAAAAAACAACAACAAAAACTCTCCATCCTAACAACAATAACATAAACAAAACAAACATCAACAACAACAACATAAATAAAAGAAGAAGAAGAAGAAGAAAAGAAAAACATTTAGACAGGCAAAAAGACAACAAAACATTAATTAATAAGAGTTCACTCCTACATACTACTATCACAACATAAATAAAAAAGTAACAACAACAATAACAACAAATCCTAACAACAACATAAACAAAAAAACCCCCCACTAACAGCAATGTAAATAACAATAACGACACCAAAAGAAAAAACAAATAAAAACCACAACAACAAAAACTAACATTACAAACAACAACAAGAACAACAACAACAAGACAGGGAGGCGAAGAGCACGCTCTTCGGGGCTCCAAACATTTCGAACGGATAGGCTACCACACACACACAACAACAAGAACAACAACTACAACAACAACAACCAAAACAACCAGCCTACCTCTGATGTCCCCACCAGCACAAAAGGCCTTCCCTCCTGCCCCTCGGATCACCACCAGTGCGATGTTCGGGTCTGTCTCCCATGCCTGGGGACAAACAGTCAGTTTGCTAGTGTAATGTGTGTTTGGCTGAGTGTCAATTTGTCTGTGAGTTTGTTTGTGTTTATTTGTATGAGTGTCTAGTCGTGTGTTAATTTGTCTGTGACTTTGTTAGTGTTTAGCTGTCTGTGTGTTTAGTTGTGTGTTTATATTTCAGACTTTAGATAAAGTTTTAGAGCATTTGCAACACAAAAAGGTCATATAAATGCCAAAGATTAGAGGTGTTACTAGACATTGGCATACAAAAAAAAAGATGGTCAGATAAAAACGATAAATGTCTGATGAGAAAGAAGATGAAAACCAAGCCAGAACCATACCAGAGCACCAACCAACTACCCACTATGTTTATTTGTCTGTGTGTTTGCACAAAAAAACATGGACATAATAACCGGTCATTTAGGGCACGAGAAAAGTAAGACAGAACAAACAGAAACACAAGAGGGAGAGAAAACAAATTGGATCTACCACTGGCACCCTCCAACCACCCACAGAGACAGAAACTCCATATGGAGACAAAAATAAGTAAGACCTATCAGTTACACCCTCCAATCACCCACACAGACTGAAACAACAAAGGGAGAATAATGAAGTAGGACCTACCAGTGACACCCTCCACACCAAACACACAGACAGAAACTACAAAGGGAGAATAATGAAGTAGGACCGACCAGTGACACCCTCCACACCAAACACACAGACAGAAGCAACAGACAGAGAGAAAGCAAGTAGGATCGACAAGTGACATGCCCCCAACAACCCATAGAATGTCACATATTTTTTTAATGTAGGTTCTTTGATGACTCCATCGAATCAATGATATAGATCATTTAGGAGGAGGGTTGAGAGGGAGACATCCCAGCAGAAAGACACAGGTACTCAATTAAAATTTTCCCCCACTTGAGAATCAAAGTAAGGTCTCCTGCATGCAACAACAAAGAGACTAACCGCTTCACCACAGACACAGTTCCAGAATGGGATCCTAGATTGTTTTATATAAGTAGGACCAAAAAGGCAGCTGGCCACATATTTTAGTTTTAGTAGAGGTGTTACGCCGCTCACAACTGCATAAGGTCATATGAGCGCCAAGGCCACATATTTGTCCTCACCAGCATCTTGCTGTACATTTTCCTGACCATGGAGAGGTTGAGGGCGTTTAGGGCCTTGGGTCGGTTCATAGTGACCACACCAACATGGTTCCTGGCCTGGAACAAGATTTCTTCCTCCGCCTGGCTGGACATTTGGGCTGCCCGCTGCGGGAAAGGGGAGAAAATGCAGTCTGTATGAATGTCATAACTGTGTCATATCTGAGTCACAACCTTGTCAGAATACAGTTTGTACATGTGCCACAACTGTGTCAGAATACAGTCTGTACATGTGCCATAATTATGTCAGAATACAGTCTGTACATGTGTCACAACTATGTCAGAATACAGTCTATACATGTGTCAGACCTGTATTATAATCATGCATTAAAATCAAGTCTGTATGTGTTATGTGTCAGACTCGTGAGTTACAATCAAGTCTGTGTGTGTCATAACTCTGTCACACATACACAGAGAGAGAGAGAGAGAGAGAGAGAGAGAGAGAGAGAGAGAGAGAGAGAGACAGAGAGAGAGAGAAAGAAAGAGAGAGAGGAAGAGAGAGAGGGGGGGAGAGGGAGAGAGAGAGAGTGAGAGAGAGAAACAGAGACAGACAGACAGACAGACAGAGAGACAGACAGACAGACAGACAGACAGACAGAGAGACAGACAGACAGACAGACAGACAGACAGACAGACAGAAAAAGTGGGGGGGGGGGGAGAGAGTGAAAGAAATAGATAGATATATAGCAAGAGAGAGAGAGAGAGAGAGAGAGAGAGAGAGAGAGAGAGAGAGAGAGAGAGAGAGAGAGAGAGAGAGAGAGAGAGGAGGAGGAGGAGGAGGAGGAGGAGGAGGAGGGGAGGAGGAGGAGGAGGAGGAGGAGGAGGCGGAGGAGGAGGAGGAGGCGGAGGAGGAGGAGGAGAAGAAGAAGAAGAAATTCAAACAGGCAAACAGATAACAAAACAATTAATAAGAGTTCACCCCTACATATAACTATCACAAGCGATAACTCTTTTACAACAATCACACAAAATCAGCATTAATGACATCAGATACAATATTCACAGCATAATTATGAAAGCATGTATCGTTCACTACATAACATATTAAACATTGCACCCACAACAGAACACACTATCCAGCAGAAGGCTCAGCGCATGAGGTGTGCCCACTGAACTACAGGAAAGTTCCACGGGGCAACATAGAAGAGCGGGCACAACTGTAAAATCATTGTCCAGCTGTATAGATATGTACTAAGCCCAATATTTCAAACATTGTATTTTTTAAATATGTGGCATTGTTTGTATGTGCAAAAGAAATATTTTGTCAAAATTCAAATTCTTAATGTTGAAAAAAGCAGGACCAGAAACATAAAGTAGTACACAACTGATAGAGAAATGAAACAGTTTTTCCTCTCTTCTGAAAACTTTTGCCTTCTGGGCTTTGAACATTTGAGTAGTTTGCCAGTGGTGATATATATAGTAACAGCACATTGATCAATACCACTGACAAACTGTTGCGGTCTGCATAATCTACTGAGACAATTAAATGGTTATTTATTGATTGAAATATGAGCCCGTTCGTAACCTGATGCATTTATTATCTCTGCTTTAAGTCAGTGTAGTCCAGCGATAACTCTCGATCTGAGTGTTGGACTGTAATTGTAACTGTAAATGTTTTACCCCTGTCTCTGCACAATGGTGATCATTTAGGAGTTGGGAGGGCGCTCTGTTAGTGTTAGTTCAGTTGGAATTATGCTGATCTAAGGAGCAGATGGCCCTGGTTCGAATCCCTGACTAGGCGTTCCTGAACTTGGGTTGCTTGGTGGAGTTTTCAAGCTGCTCAACCCATATGACTTGGTCCTATCAGCGATGGACATTAAAGAGGTCCTGCCTCTTAAATAACTTAATTGTGTTGATAGCGGCGTAAAATCCATACACATATTCACGAAGAGACAGGATGCTTCCACTCTGCCTTTCATGGCCAGCCCGAGTTGAGAGGGATAGCAGAAAGATAGAGATATACTCTATAAAAATTCTCCACACGAGTGAATCGAATTTGTGTTTTCTACATACAATGAAGAACCTAACTGCTCTATAAACATCCGCAAAGAAGTTAGAAGGTTAATCAGACTTTTTCACAGTAATATAAGTACACAAAAGGACCTTCAATTGCTTCTAGATACTGTTGCAACAGAAAGTGAATGTAAAGGATTAGTGTTGAATGTAAAGAAAACAGAATGCATGGTAATATAAAAAAAGCAGTAAATCCTAGTTGTAATCTCATTAGCAAAGGTGAAAAAATCGAACAAGTCCAACAGTTTAAATATCTAGGATATAGATCTATGATAACATCTGATGCCAAATGTTCCACAGAAATAAAGCGGAGCTCTCACTGGCAAAATTGAAGGCAAATGAGGCAGGGGTAGGCCCAGAGCAACCTACTTAGAGAACCTAAACAAATGGGTAACGGGGACAGATCAAGGAAACGTCGCTTTTTTAAGAGCATCCCCGAACAAAGAAATGAATGGAGAACCATGATCGCCAATGTCTGTCACAGATCTGGCATTAGATGATGATGATAAGTACACAGTTACCATGGTAACAACACAAACATTCCCAAAGAAGTAAAAAGTTAGTCAGAAATTTTAAAAAGTTATATACATACACAGTTACCATAGTGACCAAACAAACATCCGCAATGAAATGAGAGGGTTATCAGATATTTTCTTGGTTATATAAGTGTACAGTTACCATGGAAGCCAAACCAACATTTGCAAAGAAGTATGAAGGTCAAGGGTTAGGCATTTTTGTTTTGTTGTTTGTTGAGCTCTTGGTTTGTATGTGGTCACCACGTTAACCAAACATCGACCATCAAAAGCAGAGAAAAAGTGGGAGGGCAGTCGAACATTTTTTTCTTTTTTTGTCTAAAGCTTATTTTTCGTACAAGTTTTATGGCATTTATAACACAATTACGTCTATTGCACAAATGTCGAAGATGATTAGAGGCATTACTGGAGAGTAACATACAACAAAAAGGAGGATGAGAGATAGTGGAGAGATCTTTCATAGGAAAGAAGGAACAAACCACAATGGAGCACCCCCCAGCTACCTACCTTTTTTTACTTGAAGTATGAAGTGGTTACCATTGCAACATAACAGACGCCAAGACAAAAAAGAAGGTAGTCATGTTAAGAGAAGAGAGCAATAAAAACTACAACTTACAATATGTTGTAGGAGAACACGCAGTCTCAGGCACGGTCTGCGGATGGAGATAAGAAAACTAATTGTTTTTTAAAGTTTTAGTAGAGGTTTTACAGCGCTTGCAACTGCATAAGGTCATATGAGCACCAAGGGGTGGATGTCAACAGAGAAGTCCTTACAGGGAATCAGACTTACTCTGCTCACCTCTCTAGCTTCAACAGCACAAAGTCTGCTTCGACTATCAAAGCACCCCGAAAAAGCAGGTCACAAGAGTGTGACAAACATACAAAAGAAGTAGAGGAATTGACGATAGTAAGGATTAGGAAAGAAAAAGCAGCAGTTTCCTGTTGTAGTTCAGGCACATTTATGAGCATGACATTGTTAGATCAGCCCATTTACAATTCTACTTTGCACTAGAACGAGAAATGTCCCCCCTTTGGGAATGGCCTAAAGACACTTCAGTCAGTGGCACTGCCCCATGGGGTAACTAATTGTTTATGCTGCCAGCTGTTTGTCTGTTTGTTTGAGAACAGAGAAGTTTTTGTTTTTCAAAATACAATCAGGAACACCCAAAGTTATATTATGATTATCAGATTACTAAACAACAAACAGAAACAACATAGGAAAAAAAAAGGAGTAATACAGCCTACAAGTGGCACCCGCAAACCACCCACACACACACAGAAACAACAGAAGAAAAGAATTTCAACCACCCATTTAAATCTCGTAAAAGTGGATACTCTAGGACACAACACAAGAGACAAAAGCACAATTGTGTCATGACACGGTAGAATCAGGCGCTTGTCATTTTTTGGGCATGTGGAGTTATTGGTATCTCCATAAAGCAAATTCATTTGTCTTACTCCCGACGAAAAAAAATATCCATTTATCTTGAATACAAATCGAGATATTTGCGATTAAATAGATGGGCGTCGCCTGGTCTCAAGGGTAGAATAAGCAAGAAAATGGCCTCTAAAGTTTAGTTATTTCCTTAGCTTAAGAGCCTGTGGAAACAGAAAATTTACACTTTGAATGCATTTAATTGCCCTTTTTCAGCACAATCCACACAGAAATGTGTTCTTTAATGGACATGGAGGAAGATGATGAGCTAAAAAACAAAAATTCGAGAAAAATTCCCAAACCTGTGGAAAAATCCAGTTTCTTCATTATCATTATTTTGATGAACGCCTGATTTCACCACACTGCCTCACAATTATAGTTCTCCTTTTCCTCCTTCTTGTCTTATTCTTTTGCTTCTTTTCGTCTTCTTTTTCTTTTTCAGCCTTTAATTCTCCATCTCTTGCTTATTCTTCTTTTCCTTCTCCTGACTCGTTTCCTTCTCCTCCTTTTTCTTTCTTCTTCTCCTTCTGTTCCTTCCTTCTTTTTCCCTTTCTTAATTTTCTCCTTGATTATCTTCTTTTCTCCTTTTCTTTCTTCTTTCTTTTTTCCTCTCCTTCTCCTTTCCCTTCTACTCATTTTTGTTTCTTCTTCTTTGCTTTTTGTTTCTCCTTCTTTGCTTTTTGTTCCTTCTCTTTGTACTTCAGTTCTTCTGTCCCACGTACAATCTCTTACCTCTGGAACATGGTTAGACAGATCCTATACAGGCAGAAAGTTCCCAGTCGCTGTCACAATAGTAGACCTTCTCTAGCGCCAACTGATGACAAACTACAAATAGAAGTGCCAGGGAGAGAGGAAATCACGACTTAGTTTAGTATTAATTAGAGTTTTACAGCATTTGCAACACTGTTAGGTCATATAAAAGTAGAGGATTAGAGGTGCTACCAGAGAAAAACATACAAAGAAAAGACGGAGAAGAGATAAGGATGATAGATGGGAGCAAACTACACCAGATCACCCACAAACACCTACAGTCACATGTCAGAATGACAGAAAATAACAAGTCTAAATAAGCACAATGCTTTCCTCAATCTCATTCTTCTTTGATTAACCCTATCCGTACGTTGTGTTTTACAATTGTATCCATACTCTGAGCAACCACTTTCCAAAGAGGAAATTTACTCGTTAATCTGATCCGTAAGCTTTGCATAGTAGTCTGTCAAAATGTTTTTTTGAGAAATACTGAAAGTTTCGAAGAGATCTTTGCACTAGAAGTATTCTAAAATGTGGAGAATACAACCTCGGGGGTACAAAATGACCCCAGGGCGTACGGATATGGTTAAGGAAAGTTTGTCGTGTGTATGCTTGAGAGCGTGGGTTTGTCTGTGAGTGTGTATGTTTCGGAGGGTGGTCGGGGGGGGGGGGAGATTCAAAAGTCAGAACGATAAAAAATGACATCCTCTAAAACACAATAACTTTTTCTTCATCTTAGTCTTCCTTCATTGCGGCATTGAGAGGGGGAAAAAAAGGTTGTGAAAGAATGAGAAAAACTTCACCATTCCCGTTCCCTTTTCTTTTTGTTGGAATCAGAACTGCATAATTTATTTCTTAGAGCTTACAAAAAATTAAATTGTGTAGCAATGTGATCTAGTTTTTACAGTTTTGCATTTTGACAACGTAACACTATGGGTACCTGGAGGTGTCATCTCTGGCCCAGAGCTACAGAGGTAGATGTGTAATGACCCGCCATTGCTTACAATAGAGCTTCACTCATACATTCTGGCATATTTGTGAGTTGGTCTGAGGAAATCAGATGTTGCCTCACGATCATTTGAAGTTTTTGTGCTTTTCTGAATGCTGGGATCTTCCTAATTATCATGCACTTTAAATTTTGCAATTATCTTTTCTAGAATATGAAATAGAATCTAGTGCAATATGAAATAACAAAATGTGGAAAAATTAGAACTGAGAAAAACGTTTTCAAAGTAGCAGCATGTCAATATTACTTTTTAATATCTGAATGTACATGAAAAAAAAGTATTGAGAAAATATGTTGTAAAATGGTTTTTACAAGAAACAGCTTTTCAACATTTTCTTTTTTTTCTGAAATGGTCGGGAGGGTATCACCTCAATAACTCAAAATCGACTAGAACTGACCACACTGACTATTTTTGCTGATATCTCGATTCGAGGTTTAGCCACATATTCCTGGTTTCATCAGACAAGCTCACATTGACCCAATCCATGCCAAGATGTTATCGGTCCACATTGTTCACTGTCCACGCTTCTAAAGCCCTAAACCCCCATATCTTGCCTTCCAGTATTTCATTCACAATGAATGGCCTGGTGGCGTTTTATATCATGACTAAAGTATTGAGTTTTTTACTTTTCATATGGTTTTGTCTTCTGTGGAAAATTTGACACAAATACACTTCCTTGTTCGTCTTTATGCTTTCCAGCTAATTCTGGCAATCTTGCCTTTCATCTCAAATACAGCTGATATTTTGTTGTCAACATTCTTTGTTTTAGCACTCCAACAATTTTTTCCTTAAAGAAAGCCATTTATTACTGCCTGGAAGTAAACGATTGCGTGCATATTATGGCTGAATCTTGCTTTTGCATTTGATGTTCTTTATTCATTTCCTTTTTATTTTCACTTCTGCCATCATCAGTGAAGGTCGTCCCTATAGATGTACTTGTTCAATTCTCTATGTCTCTTGTTCGCCAGTTGATTTTGATTTGATGTTCTCATAGCATTTAAGCCCAGGGCTATATCTTATTGTTATTCTCTTTAATTAACTTCCCAGTTTTTGAGAGATTTTTGTTTGTGTTTGCAAGCAAGTCACAACCTTCTTTAATTGATGCTGCCTTCTGCAGCCTGTAGTAATTTGCTCTGATATCTTTGCCATCAATATATCTTTTCTTACCCCTTAATCAGCCTGGTGCTTGGTGGATTCAACACGTTATCAAACTAAAAATGAGAGAATTTAAGAAAAAAGCTTAGGCGAGTATACAGTCCGCTTAAATTGAATATTGATTTAAAAAATAGCGGTAAAATGAAAGAAAATAAAATCCTAAAGTTTTTTTCTTTCTAGATCTAGAAACATTATGTTCAGCTTTTTCAAATGCAATTCTTTGATAATGTATCTTGATATGACTTCAAATATTTTAAAGATTTTGATAGAGCAGATTGAACATTTCGGTGTCTGACCTCATGGCGATCCTAGTCTAGATCTAGATTTTTAGATTCTCTAGATCTAGTATAATTAACTCAAAACGGCTAAAAATGTCAGATCTCTTGAACTGCATGTAATTCTGAGGCAGCGATCTGAAGTGTCAGTGACACAGGATTTAGACGGAAGGTCACGCGACAATCCTTCTTATCAACAGGGCACTGCATGCACAGAGGCAACCAGCAATGGTGTGATCTATTAAATTTGTATATAGATATGTTAGATATTAAGTTGGCCTACTGTAGGCCTTATATATACCCATTCATTAAAATGTCTTTTAATAAGTTTTTATCATTGTAAACTAAATGTCCCCTTGAGGATCAATTAAAGGGAAATTTTATTTCATTCATTAGATCTAGTACAGTGGAACTCTGATTCAACGAGATGAGATAGAATCCCGTTTTTTTTCTTCTTTAAAATCAATAAAAATAACCTGGATTCAACGAGCACTTAAATCAGTGAGCTCGGATTCAACGAGGTCGCTTCCAGGGTGAACAGTCCCTGCAGACGTGGCTTCGCTCATTTTTCTCCCAGAACGAACTTTATCTATTCCTGGAAACCATCCATTGCACCTGCATCGTGAACCATTATTCACTTAAACGACTGCATGCAACCAATCAGCGGCCTTTTTTCGTACCAACACATTCATTGTTGGCACGTGCACATATTTACTCTAGCGTGTGTCAGGGTCAGATGGACGGCCTGCACACATGCGGCTGTCTATGCGTGTCGGGGGGGCACCAGCGTTCCGGGCGTTGAACGTCGAAGTTACAAACGCGTCACAGTCTTTTTTACTCCCGGCAACTGATCAAATGTTATTACAATGATGATAAGCTAGTCTTCACGTACAACTACGTAATGAATTGTGCGCTTGTCTATGGAATCAAAAGTTGCTGTATGCTAGGCGCTCTTCACAACAACACAGCTTTTTGGTAAACAATCGAGATGACACAGGCGTGTGCATTTGAACGAACCTGGTGGTTGTTTTTTTACACAGCTCATAATATCAGGCATTTCAGGCACTACTTACTACTTGTGACTTCTCTTTATACATTACTTGCTCAGTGCCTGTAATTATCTACAAAAAACCTACCTCGTGTTTGCTATAACATAACGAACACTCGGATTCAACGAGATTTTAGGTCAGGCCCGGCGACCTCGTTGAATCCGAGTTCCACTGCATAAAACTCTAGATCTAGAATCTAGATCTAGTCTAGATCTAGAATCTACATACTAGAATCTAGATCTACATCTGATCTAGATTCTAGATTACATAACTCTGGAATCAAACCAACACAAATATTTGGAGAACTTGTCACAGACTTTGTCTTTACTTTACAACTGAAGTTTAAACTAACTAGAATCTAGATCTAGATCTATCTAGATATAGATCTAGACCTAGATTCTAGATTCTAGATCTAGAGATCTACAAAGTAAAGAAAAGCGCACATCAACACAAACAAACTGATGGTCAATAATGGCTGGAGAAAAGGAAGACAGGACAGACAGAAACTGCAATGGAAAACGCATGCACACACGAGCACACTGACAAACACATGGTCAAATAATACAATCATTGTACTAAACTACGGCACTACGGTAGGCCTAGAGGTTTGATTTGATCAGAAAAGTGAAACGAATCATGTGTGCGAGCAGAGTGGTCTGCTAACATTTTGCACGGATGATAGATCTAGATATCTAGATCTAGATCTAGATCTAGATTTAGATCTAGAATGTGTTCAGAGGGTAGAGAAATCTAATAGATCTAGAATCTATATCTAGACTAGAATCTAGATTCTAGATTTTTTTGCTAGGCCTAGACGAGTAACATGGTGATGCTTCGTTACCTTGCCTTCCAAAAACCTTGGGTCAGAACTCAGAACCTTTAACTTTACGATTACCACAACTTAACCTTTTGACATTAGGCTGGGGCCTATAATTGTGCCTCTGTGGCATGCTTTGTTGTTACCTTGCCTCACGAGAAATCTTGGGTCAGAACCTGTTCTTTAGGCTTAACCTTAAGGGCTTAACTGGAAGATCAAGAATCTAGTCTAATAACTAGGACTTTCACTTTAACCTGTTACCACAACTTAACCTTTTGACACCATAAATTGGTATAGTAGTAGTAAGCTAGATTGTTCACTTCTGTGGATTGGAGAATCCAGAAATGGTGCCAAACTGGGCAATTTGGCACACTTGCTTGTGCTGGGTTTTTTAACTTAGGCCTAGATCTAGGCCTACATATTGTATTTCTTTTTCTCTAATTACATCTCCTTCTTCAGGTGTCATGAGGTCTGTAGCAGACACTGACAATCATATTATGTTGTCTGTGATCAACTCAGCTTTTCTGATTGTGTTGTTTGCCAGTTGTTCAGGCCATCTCTGTTATTTTCTCTAAAACATTATCCTACGGAGAAAAAAAAAATTTTTACAAAAAAATATTGCTTTTGGAATTTTCGCCTCTAAATTTCTCGTAGACTTTCCAGGAAGACCATATAATAATCTAAATCTAGATCTGGAATAGCAGTTATTTTTACAACAATGAATTATTGAAAAGATGGGGACTCTAATTAGTCTTATACTCTTTGGGTCCTTTGCTGTTTTTTTCCCGTGATTTGTTTTTTGATCTCTTACATGTGTCCATTATCTCAGCCTTGAAGTCCCCCCCCCCGAGGGCGGTTCCACTGACTGAAATGTCTTACGCCATTTCCAAAGGGAGGAACATGATTTCTCGTTCAAATTCACAGTACGATTTGTAAATGGGCTGATCCAACAATTAATGTCATGCTCAAAACTGTGCCTGAACTACAACAGGGAACTGCTGCTTTTTCTTTCCTAACCTTACCATATCGTCATATATATCCTCTTCTTCTTTTGATTGTTTGTCACACTCTTGTGACCTGCTATTTCTGGGCCTAGATAGTCAAAGAAGATACTCTGTGCTGTTGAAGCTAGAGAGGTGAGCAGAGGAAGTCTGATTCCCTGAAAGGATTTCTCTGTTGACATCCACCTCTTGGCGCTCATATAATATAATGACCTTATATGCAGTTGCGAGCGCGGTAAAACGCTACTAAAACTAAGCTAAAAAACTCAACAGCCTAGAAGTGCATCTTCAAGTTGAATGGACTGTAAAAGACGTATTACCAAATAAAGAGGGGGGTAAGTGTTTTAAGGTGCTCGAAACTGCATAAGGTCATAAATGAGCGCGCAAAGATCTCTAGATTCTTTCAATATATTGTATCATTGTAGTAAGTCGTAACACTTTTAATGTACAGAAAAGTACCGGAGGCCTACGTTTCAGAGAAAAACAGTTGTTAAAAAAACACTGATATTTTCCTTCTATCAGCTACTTTTTAGTCTTTAAACTTTGCTAAACAGCTTTCTGTACTGGCATTTTAGCAAACTCTAGGCCTGTTTAACTGTGATAAGCAGGTTAAAAAATATAGCATTTCCTTTCTCACCCTGCACCAGGGTATAGGCCACGGACAGACATTTTCCACCTTTCTCCGTCCTGGGCTAACTATATTAATTGTTTCTGTAACTGACTGTTTTTACTGGGTCGGCTATATATATATATATATATATATATATATATATATATATATATATATATATATATATATATATATATATATATATATTATATATAATATATATATATATATATATATATATATATAATTAAATGGAGCTTGAGGGAAGAGTTAACTATAAATCAATCAACAGATCCAGGGCATATAATATTGATATTTGTAGTGCATATCGACTTAGATCAGAAATAAAGCTTTTGATTTTAAAAAGGCAGGCTAATATATCCATATATTTTACAAGAAAATGAAAGTTTATTTTTGATTTTTTGTTGTTTGTGCGTGCGTGCGTGCGCGCGCGTGCGTGTGTGTGTGTGTGTGGGGGGGTTTGTGTGTGTTGGGAGGAGGGAATACAACTTTGGCTTGGCTTGACTAATGAGACACCAACTAAATTAGAACAAAAATTATACGCCTAATAATCCTTCTTGGAGGCTGTTTTTAGTAAAGGGATCTCCTGGACAAGTTTCGAAAATTCATAATCCCTTGCATATTATTATATGAACAATAATAGCACATTAAAGGCTTTTCTGGCGTCTTTCACGTCTACTACATCCGGATTTGTCCACAAGACTAGCAGTTTTTCCCCTTTATTCTTTATCTTCAAAATGACGAGGTCATTGTTTCACACTACTCTTTAAATAAAAAGATCAAATTCTGTGTGTGTCTTCAAACATCCGGTGCAAGATGGCGACCCCCATACCCACAACAAATGACTTCACACAGTTCTTCGAAGATGTTGTACCTCCCGAATCTTTTGATGAAAAGAAGGCTCAGATGGATTCGTTCATCAAGTCTCAATCCGAGTGCAAGAGGAAGATTGTTCTTATCACTGTATGTCTTCTTTTTTTTTAAAGGCCATTGTTAACTCTAGCATTCATTTATTCTATGATTAGTAGTTAGTAGATCTAGATTCTAGATCTAGATCTAGATCTATAATCTAGATCTAGATCTAGGTCTAGATCTAATCTAGTAATACTGTTCATAATAGTAGGCCTACTAATCTTAATCTTATTGAATTGAATATTTTTTTAAAAGGAGAAGGTGGTTCATATTATTAATATAAAAGTAAGGATTTTTGTCCTTCTGAAGTTCAGAATTTATGAGTAATGCGGTGTTCCAAATTATGTTAGTGACACCTATTTCAAAAATCTGCTCATCAATGCAAAGGAAGGAGGAACATTTTAATGGCATTCCCAAGGCGAAAAGTGTTAACTCCAAAATGGCCGCTCTTCTTGCGGGTGTGGTACATGTAGTGATGTCGGCGAATGAGATGATGATGCTGGCAGTGGCAATGATGATGGTAATGATTATGACGAGAAGTTGATGGTGGTGGTGATGATAAAGAGAGGGTGAATGATGATGGTGGGGAGAAGAAGGAAGAGGTGGTGGTGGAGGAAGGGAGAAGGAAGATGAAGAAGAGAATAGAATGATGTTGATGATGAGGAAATGGAAAAACCTATGGGGCTGTTCAAATACATTGTATAATCTTACACTTTTGGGGACTTTTAAAAAAGGCCGGCACTATTTCTCCGAACTTTCGGGAAAATAAAGCTAGGCACTATTTCTCCGAACGTTCGGGAAAATAAAGCTGGGCACTATTTCTCCGAACGTTCGGGAAAGTAAAGCTGGGCACTATTTCTCCGAACACTCTGAAATCACATCCTTTCCCGCAAATTTCGGATATTATATAGATCTATAATTATAGTATAGGCCTACCAAAGATTCTTTGTATACAATATGGTTCAATCGGTCCAAAAAATGTCCGCAGTAAATATTTGTATAAAGAAATGCTACAGTTCCAAGCAGTTTTTCGCTACATATTATATATGACGTGTTGCCTATGAAGGGTGCTGCTCTTAAACCTAATGAATGTGTTGTGTTCACTCGGGTGCTGTCTAGATCTAGATCTAGATCTACGGAGGGTTATTGATAACGACACATAGAACTAGCATCTGCATTTGTTGCGGCTGCGACCAATCAATTGTGGCTCGATTTTTGGGCATTTTTTGGTCCCCGAATCGGGGAATAAAAGTCAAATTAAAAATTTTTAAAAATGAAAGAAACCGAACCTCTTTACTTTTGAAAGAAAGTTCACTTAGCTTCACTTTGTCTTTCTCACTTGTTGTCACCACGTTGATTTGTTGAATACGTTACAGTTACTTTTATTTTTCCCTCTTTGTGGTGTTTTATTTTGTTAGTGTGTATTTTTTTCTTTCTTGTTATTGTTCTGATGTGTTGTTTTTTTTATCAGTTTTTTTTTGTTGGGGAAAAAGGGTGGGAGGGGGGGGGGGGGGGGGGTGCGGATGTTGTATAGTGTAACATCATTTAATTTTATGTTCCTACTTTCATTAGATTCTAAATACATATACATGTATACAGATTTAAATGTGTTATGTTAGAGCGTTCGTTCCACCAAACCCGATTAGATCTACGTGTACTGACTCTGGCAGGCCCCTTAATGTGTGTGATTCCATAATTTACATGTAATATCATTACTTTGTTTTAAAATTGCACACATTTAGGGTTAAAACAGCCAATCTTCTTCGGACAGGTGGACACACGCCCTTATTTGTTAATTTTTGTGGTTGTTTATGGGCTGTTCTAATTTTGATTTCTTTCGGTCGTGAAACCTTTCTTTTTCACGTTTTTACACTCATCTAAAAATCTCTAGACTAGCTCTTGAAAACTGAAATATATATAGACCTAAAAATTTGCTCCTGTGTGTGTGTGTGTGTGTGTGTGTGTGTGTGTGTGTGTGTGTGTGTGTGTGTGTGTGTGTGCATGTGTCTGTGTGTGGTAGTAAGTGTGTAAGTGGAGAGTGAGGAGCGTGTGTATGTTTGTTTTTTCGGGCTTTATTTCAGCCTTTATTCAGTTCAAAGTATACAAAAATAGAAACACAGGATCCATTCACTCCAGGGCTCATGAGTCGTTCCTCTCTTTCACTCATTCATTCAATTCCCGTGTTCTCTCCCGCGGCTCATCCCCATCCGCATGACTTTCACACCCCACCCCCTCACTCCAGGCACACACAAAGAAAATCTCACTCATTCCCTTGCACCCTGCGAACCATGGACAATAATATTAGCAAAAACCTGCCGTAGCCGCATTCCTTTCGTTCGTGCGCTGTGGACCAGGCCAGGGGGGTCGGTGTCGTCGCCTTGTAGTTGTAGTTGCTGTCGCCTGTGATACACTCGTACATTCTTCCTTTCACCTGCTCAGTCACTCACACTGTCTCTCCATCCACAGCTCAGCTCGTCATACGTTCAAAAGTTGCCCACTAATCATGTTTAGTTAGTGTGTGTATAAGTTTGTGTGTGTACATGTGCATGATGGTGGTGGGTATGTGGTGGGTGTTACTGAAGGTTGTCTGTAGGCGGGCTTGCCATGCCATGCGGTGTTCGTTCCCAGACCAGAGGCAGAATGAAAGTTGGCGCTGAACTCTCGCAATAAACAGGCTAGGCAAAAATTCACGAGACCGGAAGCCGGAAACCGTTCGGAGAAATAAAGATCGGCACTATTTCTCCGAACGTTCGGAGAAATAGTCACTTCGTTTAAAAAAAACCAAATTACACTTTTCTCAGATTTGCCTCCAACCCCCACCCACACCAATTTAATATTAATATTAGTACTTTTTCCGATCTTCAACTTCCATTATTATTTTAAAGATACCTGTACTATACGTGGCTTTTTTTTACCAGCTTGTAAAAAAAAAATCATTTCAGTTAATACAATTACAATTTAATCAAATCATATGAACTGGAAAGAACACATTATATATATATGTGGAAGACATAATTGAGACTCTTGTCAATGCAATAGGTACGTGCCTTACAAATAAAAGACATCAAGACATTAAAAGATCAACAAAACAGTTGCAAAGTTACAAAGAAACAATAAGAAATTAGATATCCACCTACAGAATTTTCATCATAATTTCAAAATTATGTGTAAACCCCCCCCCCACCCCCCCTCTCCAAAAAAAACCCCCAACGAAAACAACAACAACGGGGATCTGCAGTGATCATGCAGGTCTGGGTCTTGTTACTTTTTCTTTTACCTTTTCTTCCCAGTCATGAGCAAAACGTTCATCTCACAGAAGTGTCATACATGTATTTGGTTAACCTCCCCACCCAATCTTACACTTTTCTTACAGAAACCAAAGACACCCTTTCCCCTCTGAGGTGTAAGTTTATATTTTGAACGGCCCCTATAGGCCTAGATTCTAGATCTAATACATTGAGGCAAGTCGCGTACATGAGAGGCGGACGTTGGGTCGCTTTTCGAGGATCGCCGTAAAAATAGCCTGGGACTCACTGGGAGGCTATCTTTACGGCTCGCCGTAAAAATAGCCTGGGAGGCTATCTTTACGGCTTGCCGTAAAAATAGCCACTGCGTTAAATTTTAGGCAAGCGCTATTTGCAACGCCGCGTTCTGAATAGCTACCGTGCTATTTGAAACGCCAGTACTAGAATCTAGATGTAGTAGCCATCGTTTCTACATGATGATAATATTTTAGTTTTGCCTGAATTGTGGAAGCTTTCTCAGTTTTTTTATAAACCTCCTAGGATTTTACTCCTTTTTTTATGACGTTGTCTTATTTCGATCAACATTGGTAGATCTAGATCTAGAAAATCTAGATCTAGATTAGATCTAACAATTGTTTCTGACATTGTTTTCACAAAAGTAGACATTTTGTTCATCTCTCATAATCATAATCATTTGAGTTAGATTTTGAGCAAGTCGAAAGACGCTTGTATAACAATAACAAGACGGTGCAACTCGAACTTTATGTTAGGCCTAGAGAACGTATACAAGCTGTCTACTCTCTACGTTCTCTAAGTCTAATGTTCAGTGCTTCCAAGCGTGGCATCGAATCCCGGTCCCGGAAGGTTTTTTTTTTTCCTTCTCCTGAGCCTAAAATAAAAAAAAAAAAAAAAATTAGACCCACAGACCAAGGAAAGCCACTACTGAACTTTAACCAGGCCTAAATTGGTAAAAGGAATAGTATAGGCTATACTAAGGCCTACTTTGTACAGAGCTCCTCTTGGGGACAAAACCAGAATGTGCATGCTTCATCACTACATAAAAAAAACCTGCAAAGCAACAAGATATAAAATTATGGGAACAATTTGTTGGTCAGCCGAGAAGAGGACAACAACAACCCCCCCCCCCCCCCCCCAAAAAAAAAGGAAAAAAACCAAGAAAAAAACCAAACCGTCCAGGACCGGGATCGAACCCACACTAAAAAAATAATGGTTTGACTTCAAGCGCAGACGCGCTGTCACTTCGGCCATCAGAACTTCCGATAACGATATGTGCAGATTAAGCTTGATATTTTACACACGGCGACACGGCGTTTTATTTAGCACTGGCGCTAATTGCAACGCGGCGTTTTATTTAGCACTGGCGCTAATGGCAACGCGGCGTTGCAAATAGGCACTTCCTAAATTTTAATGAGCTGAAAGACAATGAAAAGCGTTAGTCCATTAATTTGGGCATCTTACACCATGGGGATTCCTAATCTCAGAACGGAGTGTCTACGTACACGGTAACCGGGCGCGTAGCCTCAGGGTCTACGTACACAGTAACCGGGCACATAGTCTCGGTATCTACGTACATGGTAACCAGAAGGTCCAAGAGATAGTTCACTCAGCCAAAAAGAGTGTCACTTTTATTGTTTTTCACACAAGTAGGGTAGATTCTAACTCTGCTTGCAAACTTCGCACTTTTTCGAAGAGGGCGCACTAGGGTCAACCGCTGTATAGTCCAGCATGATACCCATTAAATTTCATAGCAGAGCGTCCAGTAAGCCTTTACTTTTGTTTTCGTTA